TGACCAATTCATTTGCCACAAGCCATCAGAGAAAGTCCTATTCCCCCCAATGAACATTAACTGGACCGTAATAGAGTTTCTGTTGAGTGACACTGAGTAAGTTACAGCTTGTATGAATCCCAAACTTTGATGGAACTGGAGTCTCAAACTGTGCCCAACTGATGAGTTTAATGAGGTCTAAATGGTCAAGTCCCGAAATGTTTCAAGGGTAAGGCATGACGGGACACACTGTAGTGCTTCACCTGGAGGTAATACACAGTGACTTAGAGGCCTAGATCAACATTTAAAGACCCAGTAGGACGTTGAGTTAAAAACCAGGTTGCATCGTTCACTTTCAACAGGTTGCTGGCCTTCTGTCAGTCTTCTAATGTCACATCACCCCCCGCATTCACATTCTCTTTCTCTCTTCACTCTCCTATACATACAGGTTGCTGTCATCTCTCTCTCTCTCCTATACATACAGGTTGCTCTCTCTCTTCTCTCTCCTATACATACAGGTTGCTGTCATCTCTCTCTCTCTCTCTCTCTCTCATCTCTACATACAGGTTGCTGTCATCTCTCTCTCTCTCTCTCCTATACATACAGGTTGCTGTCATCTCTCTCTCCTCATCTCTCTCTCTCTCCTATACATACAGGTACATGCTGTCATCTCTGTCTCTCTCTCTCTCTATACATACAGGTTGCTGTCATCTCTCTCTCTCTCTCTCTCCTATACATACAGGTTGCTGTCATCTCTCTCTCTCTCTCTCTCCTATACATACAGGTTGCTGTCATCTCTCTCCTACTGCTGTCATCTCTCTCTATCTCTCTCTCTCTCCTCTCTCTCTCTCCTATACATACAGGGTTGCTGTGCTGTCATCTCTCTCTCTCTCTCTCTATACATCTCTGTCATCTCTCTCTCTCTCTATACATACAGGTTGCTGTCATCTCTCTCTCTCTCTCTCCTATACATACAGGTTGCTGTCATACAGGTTCTCTCTCTCTCTCTCTCCTATACATACAGGTTGCTGTCATCTCTCTCTCTCTCCTATACATACAGGTTGCTGTCATCTCTCTCTCTCTCCTATACATACAGGTTGCTGTCATCTCTCTCTCTCTCTCCTATACATACAGGTTGCTGTCATCTCTCTCTCTCTCTCTATCTACTGCTCTCTCTCTCTCCCTATACTACAGGTTGCTCATCTCTCTCTCTCTCTCTCCTATACATACAGGTTGCTGTCATCTCTCTCTCTCCCTCTCAGGTTGCTGTCATCTCTCTCTCCTCCCTATACATACAGGTTGCTGTCATCTCTCTCTCTCTCTCTCTCTCTTCTCTCTCTCCTCTCTCTACATACAGGTTGCTGTCATCTCTCTCTCTCTCTCTCATACAGGTTGCTCTCAGGTTCTCTCTCTCTCTCTCTCCCTATCAGGTTGCTGTCATCTCTCTCTCTCTCTCTCTCAGGTTGCTGTCATCTCTCTCTCTATACATACAGGTTGCTGTCATCTCTCTCTCTCTACAAGTTGCTGTCATCTCTCTCTCTCTCCTATCATACAGGCTGCTGTCATCTCTCTCTCTCTCTCTCCTATACATACAGGTTTTGTCATCTGTCTCTCTCCTCTCTCTCTCTCTCTCCCTATACATACAGGTTGCTGTCATCTCTCTCTCTTCCTCTCCTATACATACAGGTTGCTGTCATCTCTCTCTCTCTCTCCTATACTCTACAGGTTGCTGTCATCTCTCTCTCTCTTTCTCTACTCTCTCTCTCATCTCTCTCTCTCTCTCTCCTATACATACAGGTTGCTGTCATCTCTCTCTCTCTCTCTCTCTCTCTCTCTCTCCTATACATACAGGTTGCTGTCATCTCTCTCTCTCTCCTATACATACATGTTGCTGTCATCTCTCTCTCTCTCCTATACATACAGGTTGCTGTCATCTCTCTCTCTCTCCTATACATACAGGTTGCTGTCATCTCTCTCTCTTTCTCTACAGGTTGATGTCATCTCTATCTCTTTCTCTACAGGCTGCTGTCATCTCTCTCTCTCTCTCTCTCCTATACATACAGGTTGCTGTCATCTCTCTCTCTCTCCCTATACATACAGGTTGCTGTCATCTCTCTCTCTCTCCTATACATACAGGTTGCTGTCATCTCTCTCTCTCTCTCTTCTCTCTCTCTCTCCTATACATACAGGTTGCTGTCATCTCTCTCTCTCCCTCTCTTTCTCTCCTATACATACAGGGTTGCTGTCATCTCTCTCTCCTATACATACAGGTTGCTGTCATCTCTCTCTCCTATACATACAGGTTGCTGTCATCTCTCTCTCTCTCTCTCTCTCTCTCCTATACATACAGGTTGCTGTCTCTCTCTCCTCTTCTCTCTCTACACATACAGGTTGCTGTCATCTCTCTCTCTCTCTACATACAGGTTGCTCTGTCTCTCTCTCTCTCTCTCTCTCTCTACATACAGGTTGCTGTCTCTGTCTCTTCTCTCTTGCTGTCATCTCTCTCTCTCTCTCCTCTCCCTACATACAGGTTGCTGTCATCTCTCTCCTCTCTCTCTCATCTCTCTCTCTCTCTCCTCTCTCTCTACTGGGTTGCTGTTCTCTCTCTCCTATACATCTCTCTCTCATCTCAAAGCTCTCCCTCTCTATCTCAGGTTGTCTCTCTCTCTCCTCTCTCTATACATACAGGTTGCTGTCATCTCTCTCTCTCTCTATACATACAGGTTGCTGTCATCTCTCTCTCTCTCTCTCTCTCTCCAGGTTGCTGTCATCTCTATCATACAGGTTCTCTCTCATCTCTCTCTCTCATACAGGTTGCTGTCATCTCTCTCTCTTTCTCTACAGGTTGCTCTCATCTCTCTCTCTCTCTCTCTCTCTCTATACATACAGGTGCTGTCATCTCTCTCTCTCTCTCAGGTTCTGTCATCTCTCTCTTCCTCTCTCCTATACATGTCTTGCTGTCATCTCTCTCTCTCTCTCTATACATACAGGTTGCTGTCATCTCTCTCTCTTTCTCTACAGGTTGCTGTCATCTCTATCTCTTTCTCTACAGGCTGCTGTCATCTCTCTCTCTCCCTCTCTCCTATACATACAGGTTGCTGTCATCTCTCTCTCTTTCTCTACAGGTTGCTCTCATCTCTCTCTCTCTCTCTCTATACATACAGGTTGCTGTCATCTCTCTCTCTCTCTCTCTCTCTCTCTCTCTATACATACAGGTTGCTGTCATCTCTCTCTCTCATACAGGTTGCTGTCATCTCTCTCTCTCTCTCTCCTACATACAGGTTGCTGTCATCTCTCTCTCTCTCTACAGGCTGCTGTCTCTCTCTCTCTCTCTCTATACATACAGGTTGCTGTCATCTCTCTCTACAGGTTGATGTCATCTCTCTCTCTCTCTACAGGCTGCTGTCTCTCTCTCCCTCTCCTATACATACAGGTTGCTGTCTCTCTCTCTCTCTACAGGTTGCTCTCTCTCTCTCTCTCTCTCCTATACATACAGGTTGCTGTCATCTCTCTCTCTCTCTATACATACAGGTTGCTGTCATCTCTCTCTCTATACATACTCTGCTCTCATCTCTCTCTCCTATACATACAGGTTGCTGTCATCTCTCTCCCTCTCTTCTCTCTCTCTCTCTCTCCTACACATACAGGTTGCTCTCTCTCTCCGTCTCTCCCTCTCTCTCTCTCTTTCATCTCTCTAGCTCTCTCTCTCTCTCTCTCTCTCCTCCACACTCAGGTTGCATTCTCTCTCCCTTTCCCTCTCTCTCATGCACACTGGTTGCTGTCAGCTCTTTCTCCCTCCCTTCCTCCATCTCTCTCTCACTCCTTCCCTTTCTCCATCACGTCTCTCTCCACACACATGTTGCTGTGTGCTGATGTACAACGTGATGTAAACCCATCTCCCCCTACAACAAACGCAGTGCAAATCCTGAGTAACCAACTCATTCACATCGCCCCCACCAGTCCCCCACACGACAGCTGTCCCTGGAATGTGCACATGCCCCTTGCCTGTCTCCTGCCCTCCCTGCTCCAGGCTGCAGGGATATCTGACATTTCTCTTACACAATGGCAAATACTGCAAGAAATCTCTACAAGACTTCCCACAACAAACTGTGCATGGCATGCAAACATTTCTACATTACTCATTTATTAATCCATCAATGACTCTTAAACTACCATGCCGTTATGCATGCCGTTAATTCCATACATCTGTACTTCAGAGTATTTCAGCTTGAATCAGTTAAAGAATTGACAGCTAAATGAAACACCTTCATTTTCAACAAGGGAACATTTAAAATTTAAGAAGACAACATAATCATCATGTACTAACAATTTCAAATAAAATATCCTTTAATTTTACAGATAAAAATAATTCTGTTTTAGCAAGGAAGTTAGAAGATATTACCACACTGTCAAAAGAATGCATCATGAAATAAAAATATTTCTTAAATAAACAAAGATTTAATTAACTGGAAATTCCAAAGCAAGTTCTCTTGAAGTAACAGAATCAGGACATGTATACAATCAATTAAATAAACTAGTTAAATAGAAAAATATAACACTGGCATAATTTAGAAAAAGGATTTGAAAATAAAACTGGACCTCAAAGTCAGTGAAATCTGTAGAAATATTGCTGTTTATTTGATACAATACATCATAAATAACAAACAGTATAAAAAAATATGTGAATTTCTAAGTCTCAAATGACCGTGATATTATGGAAACTGAGCTTAAAGAGATGTTGATAAAATCTTTACTGTAACACAGACAGGTACAGGCCACAGAAAGCACAGGCTACTTCACCCAGCCATAAAAGTCCCAGCTAACCAGTCTGGCTTATAATACACCCAATCCCCTTGATGTACATCATGAAGGTCGGCAACAGACAAGCAACAGCCGAGATGCAACGTAAGCATTTTGATTGGCTACGTCAATGTTAACTTGGTCATTCATGAATGAAAGTTGAGGTCCACCCATGTCTGGGGCTCCATTCAGTCCCACCAAGACGTGGATAATCGTGACAAGCACCAGCTGGGATAGAAAGAAGGAAAAAATGAGGGACGCATACAGATAGATGGAGGATTGTAAAGAGTAAACAGTCGTGAGTCGAGTCTTCACTTGTTACCCGATACCACCCCAGGGAGAAAACAACTCTAAGTGGTGTTAACACCTTCTTAAATTAGGAAAAAGTGGTGAAAAAAAATGTTGGGAATTTTGTGGGTGTCCAGTTGCTAGGGTAAACAGCTGTTAGACCCAACACTCTCCAGCCCTAGTTTTACTCTCAATTAAAAGCAGCAGGTTTTGCAATTCAGGCTGAATTTTTCTGTGTTGGTATATAGAGCTGAGCTGGCTTGCATACTCAGCAGTTCGCCTCTGACTGCCGTACAGCTAGGGTGAGAGTCGGGAGGGGGAGAAGAGCTGAGGGGGAACCGAGGAGCCAACTCCAGGTGAGATAACGACAGGTGAACCACAGCGACTCACAATGAAGACAGGTGTCAGCGGTGTTCACTCCGGTGTGGTAGTGCTGGTGACGGTGTTCATACTAAAGGCGCATGGAATGGCAGCACGGCAGCAGCGGGCATCCACAAAGACTCCTAACTGTGAATATGTCTTTGTGGTTAATGAGTTTGACACTTCCAAGTGCCCTGCTCTGGGTAACCAAGCCTACCAAGCGGACTCCTACCCAGCGTCACATAACGGACAAATGCCAAGGGTAGCACACGGGGCTAGAGGAAAGAATATCGACAACCTGTCATCGAAAATGCGTGACATGGAGTCACGGCTTTTTGATGAGATGGTGAAAAACCGAGAATTAAATTCAACCCTCTCGCGACACGAACACATGTTAAAACATGCGATAGATCTGCTCCATGCCTATAAGTCGAACTTCTCGAGTATATTCCGCACAATGATGTACATGGAGACAAAACTGAAACATCAACGCAGCATGAGCAGAAGTCTCAATCACAAACTGTCCAACGTCATTCTAGACGTGGTGGAGGTGAACAATGTGCTTACCAAGAAAGTTCCAACCGCAGACAGAACGGTCCAGGATAAAGCCATATCAGTGGAAAGTGTGGCAAGTGTCCGGTCCTGTCCAGGAATAACTGACCAGTCAAAAGTTTACAAAGGTAAGATACAACAACTAATAAGGATGTACTTACATAAATATTACCTTCATAAATTATATAATTACCTGTATCAAATTCACAATGTACATCTATAATTATGTGAAAAATTTCTGTCCTATGTTAATTAAACAAAATCACTTTTACTGATATTTTAAACAAATACTAAATAATGTTTTTAAAATAACCATGAAAATAGTCATTCATATTTGTGCCTAAAACCTCATTAATTTTACACACAAAAATATCAAGCATAATGAAATAATCAAACATAATGACTTAAAATGACAGATATTTTTTTCATTAGATATTATTTTCATACAGAAAATAGTAGCATTTCCATTAAACAATCATTAATGACAAAAACCTACATTGCATATTTTATTTAACTATTAAATAAACAAACTAAAAAACAAACAAATCAAAGCCTCAACTTTGCCCCTTGAGTTAACACCCCTGCCCCACCCAATTAACCATCAACCCTGAAGCCATTGTCTGGGTCTAGTTGAATAGCAACCCCACCATGGGGCCTCGTTGACAAGAAAGGCACAATGACATTGTTACACCTACACAAATGTGGTTCTAATATGTGTCTGTGTGTTACTATACACACAATGCAATGTACAAGTAATATACATAGATGTCGGCATCTCAGTCTGATGTGGCTAGGCAAAGAATTTCCTCTTATGTACAAGAAGGATTTGTTTAGGCAGGGGAATTTCCTGCAAACACAATGTCAAAAGATGGCAAATCCCCCTGATACACCCCTGTTTACGAACAAATGCTGTCGCCAACTCCTGTCGTAATGGGGATTGTAGACCATTCAGGGCAAAGACCCCTGTACGTGAGTCAAACCGTAGAGGCATCATAACCCACAGACAGAAAGCTGTATCAAGAATATGATAAAACTTTCACCACAAAAGACCATCTTGAGATACAAAGATCAAGCAAAAAAGATATCAATGTGAAAAGATTAGTGATAAGATGATAATCCCATGGTCTAAAACCCCCTGTACAACACACAGAACCCATTTACAAACGTAACCCAAAGAAATTATCATGAATCATTCTAGCCTTTTTATATGAATATATTTTCAGCCTGTTAGTTCAAAAGAAATAGGTGAACACCTGATAATGAATCACCTGTTTGTTTCCTCCATAAATACACCATTACGCCATTATGTTGTCGGAAGGTACTCAACTCGGAGATACTGTATTACCATCGTTGACAGGTCTAGTTCTATCTATACACAAGTATGGAACATATACTCCATCAGAAATGTAATACTGATTGGAATAACACATGCCCCTATGTCCAGCTGTACAAATAGCCACTGGAACTGTTAATACATGCTGGACAAACGAGGTGGTGTCATAACCATACGATTTATTACCCAGAACTAATTGCTACAATGTTTTGTAATATTTTACCAGCAACCATTTAACCAGGCTAAAGAACACTGTGATAATCATTTGAAATTTTCTTTAAAACAAACTGAAGCCAGTTTTAAAGAAAACCATAAATTTATATGTTTTCTAAGAGCTTTCTCTCGTCACTATATGGCTGAAATATTGCCGAGGTGAGGTTAAATTCTAACTCACTCACTCACTCTAAGAGCTTTCTAAAATACAGCCAACTGAACACGAAGTCTCAGTAATAGAAATTCAGCATGATGGTTCAGCAGTCACGGTCACAACAGTGAAGCTAAAAGTTAACCTTCAGGAGTCCATGGATGCAAATACCATAGCAACAAGCCTTAAACATGCTTGGAATCCTCATATACTTAAAACACTAAGGAAATATATGTTCTATGGATGGTCAACTTCTTCATTGCAATGAGTGTGACGTTTCGGTGTGCTTGCTTGATAACAGTGTTAGTACCTACACCGAAACGTCGCACTCATTGCAATAAAGAAGTTGACTGTCCATAGAACTTAGTTTTCCTTCATCTTCACAACTTCTAAAATGCCTCTCAAAGAACTTTAAACACTAATTTTAATCATTACATCCGCACTGACTTTTTTACAATAATTTAAAAGTGTCAGTAAAACTGTTTAAACCCATTAGGTAGGTGTACCTTTTGATTTCTCAGTCCGGGATTATCAATTGTCACCTGCAGGCTCTCCTGTACCCACACGTTGATCCCATGTTTAATCTTCCTAGTGCAGTGGAGTAGGTCAGTCCCCCACAAGCTGCCATATATAGACACAACAGCAAACAATCCTGCATGTGGATGTACACTAACATGTTCTACATTGTACAACTCGTCATTAAGTAACATCATTATCACACCACGGCAGCCTGGAGACAAACCAATCCATCACTCTCCTGACAAGGGAGGAAGGATAAATAAATATTGAAACTGATCATAGACAACACAGCCCAGGCAGCAGAGGAGGTAAATGTTATGGTGTTACAGTAATAAAGTTCAGAATGGTGAAAATAGCTACCGTAGTCGTTCTAGTAAAACAATTACAAAAATTATTAGACTGAAACGTCCAGGAAGTATAGTAATCTTAATTAGAAATAGTTTGAAAAATATATTTTTTTACAAAACAATTTCAAATTGAGCCAGAAACAATCCTAAAGTTCCAGGCCGAGGCAATCTAGACTTGCCCAATCATTCTAGACTTGAGATGATTCCCTTTTCATCTATATACTCTTACATTTGAAAGATAACCAGTGTTGATAGTCATGTTTTAGTATGAGCCATGAAATTAAAGGTGTTTGCCTCTAATTTTGGATGATATTTTTATCATAAGTTTGGTCAAGGAAAGAAAATAATTTATCAGAAAAGCTTGGTTTGTTTGGTCCTTAAAGCTGCACCCACAATATTCCAGCTATATGGTGGCAGTCTGTAAATAATCAAGTCTGGACCAGACAATCCAGTGAACAACAGCATGAGCATCAATCTACCCACATTACTGTGCTCCTAAACTTGTACCAATTTGTTGAAGGGTAGAAGACCCCTTTGTGATCAGAATAGGTCTCCAACAACATATGCTGGTTGCAAGCCATAGAGTAGTCTGTCATACAGACCCTGAAACAAACATATGCAAGAAGACCCATGCAAGTCTAGATTATGTGGCAAGTCTAGAGTCCAATGAAAATGAAGAAAGCCTCAGGGCTCCTTTTCATTATATATATTTTTTAATTATGAACTGTTTTTATTTCTGTAAAATATGTTCCTTTCAGAGACTAGTTGTTAGTCTAGCAATAGCCCTAATGGATCTGGTGCTCAGAAACAGTAATCTTGTTGATTGTATGTCATCGTTGCCTGGCAACATGGACTCTTGCTCATAATATCAATCACTAGACCGGTCCAGATGTGATTTATTCAGCTGTAATATTGTAGATCATCATGTTACAAAAATCAAAAGAAATAATAAGTGCTCGAAACCCTGGAATCTAACTTTCAAATAATATAGAAAGTGTTCTCCAAAAGACACTTAACCCCATGAACTAGTTGATGCTAATATCCACTGTGTAGCCTTGTGAAGGACTGGGACAGCGAGTGTACAGACGAGGCTTACAGACGGGAGTGTCGATGCTGAGCCGCCAGCTGCGTGTCAGGTGGGGTGTCTGGCCGTACCGCCACGTGTTGCCGGCATCAGGGACAGCGTGCACTTCTCCCTCATCCAGATGTAATCATCTCAATACAGGCCACGCCAGCATCGCTGACAATAATTCAGTTTGTTTGAATAAACACGGAAGGAAATAGCATTAGATGAAATCATTATCTCTGAAATATGTTATGAATGTACAGCTGTTGCTGACAAATGTGCAACATTTCTACAGACAGGCCGACTCAGTGCTAGCAACATCACAACCCGTGATTCCAGGGGTGAAATGCTGATTAAATGGAGTATTAATGATTAAGAGAACTGCTGACCTAGCAAATTTGTTTTGAGATTTCTCACTTAGCAGTTTTCATCTCCCTAACTAGCCACCAGCTTTGATCCATTCCTCCTCTCAGTATGCTTACACTTTCTGTTGTTCTCCTTTCCTTCCCCTTCCTTATACCCTCACTCACTCTTTTTCTCCTTCAGACTTTCAATTAAAGGTGTATATTCTATAAATAAATATCATTTTAACAAAACAAGTCATTCCATTGAAGGAACCGCAATGGGAGATTAAGAACCTGAACCTGAGGAAAATCTAGACTTGCTTCATGTAGAGCTTTGCCATTGCAGAATGGAAGGGAAAATGATGCTTTCAGGAATGTGAGACCGACTAATTCATGTGTGTTTGGCTACTTGAACTAATCCAAAATTATGCTGTTTTCCTTGTGCTAGTCCACTGAGATAACATGCCACACTTTAGTCTGTCTCACAGTCCCTAAACCACATTATTTTCCCTACTGCCTAGCCCTCCCTGCAATGTTAAATATCTAAATGAAGCAAGTCTATATATTCCCTCAGGCTCTGAATTTCCCATGTTACTGGGGGTCCTTTTCAATTTTAACATTACTATCAGAATTATATATATACAAAGACTAAGCAGAAGTCTAGCCACACTTTAACTCGGACATATTGTGTTCACTCCAAGTCTACCAGCCCTTGTTCCATCCCTTAATGCAGAGCCACTTAGGCTGCTCACAGACTGATGCCTTCAGATTAGGCAAGTTAAATTGCTTATTTCATGTAGAAGCCAGTTGTTTTGCTAATCACCTCCAAATCTCTGTCAGAACTTGACTATGATCCATCCTTAACACATTGTCTACTGCAATCAACATACTTGAAGTGTTCTCCCTCACAAATCATCACACAGATCCCCAAGGCTTCAGTAACAAACAACATCAGGAAATCTTCCACTTCAACAAACTTATGACATGTTAACATGAAAACATTCTTATCAACCATTTTCGAAATGAAAACAGCCCTGGATGCACACAACTGATAAGGATAATATTGAGTGAAGAGGAATGTCATACTATAATTCTGTTTCTGTCGAAAATGTCACTCAGTTGTCTTGTACAAGATGCCTGTAGACCACAGGCGTA